TCTCCCCCCCCCTCCCACCCTCAATCACCCCTGATCTTAAAAAAAGGAATGTATTACTGTGCTGTCTTCTTCAGTTTGTGTGTTTTTTTTTTTTTTTTTTTTTTTTATACACGGGCCTTCCCCCACCAAGGCAGGTTGGCCCCCAAAAAAGAAAAATTTCACCATCTTCACTCCATCATGTTTTGCCAAAGGGGGTGCTTTACACACGTTTTTAAACTCAACTTAACACCCCTCCTTCAGATGCGGGCACGACTTCCCTCCCGGGGACTCAATCGGGCCCTGGGGTTTCCCCGAACCCTTATAAATTTATTTTTGCTCAACTCCAACCAGGTCAAGTTTTTTAAAAACCATTCGCCCATTCACCCTATCAAACACCCCACGACCCTGCTGGAAGCCCAAGCCCCTCACACAAAACCCCCTTTACCCCTCCCCCCAATTTTTTCCTAGGCCAAAACCCCCACCCCCCTTCTTTCCCCAGACTGATACACTCTTGAAGTCATTCTTTTCGTCCATTCTCTCTACATGTCCGAACCACTCAAAACCCCTTTTCCTCAGCCCTTGGAAAAAAAGTTTTGGAAACCCCCGACCTCCTCCAAATTTCCCAAAATACTTTTTTTCTGCATTATATTCCACCCACACATTGCCCCCAGACGGGACATCTCCACTGCCTCCGCCTTCTCCCCTGCACATTCATCCCCCCTTTCACACCCAATAAAGCGTTTGTAAAATATACTTCATACATTCCCCCTTTCCCCTCCAAGGAAAAAGTTTTTTCCCCACAGACTCCTAAGTCACCACACCCTTTTTCCCCCATAAATTCATGATTCCCTCACCTTCATAGACCCATCCGCTGACACTTCCACCCCAAATCTAAAATACTTCACCCTCCATTCCTCCCCCTAAAATCTGATACCCAAATTTTCTTCCCCTAATCTTTTTGTTACCCATAACCTTACTTTTTCCCTGATTCACTTTTTTTTTCTTCTTTTGCACCCCTCCCAAAAATTCATCCCCAATCTCTGCCTTTTTTCAGAATCTCCCAAGAGCACAGTGTCTCAGCAAAGGGCAACTTGGGAAATCCCACTTTATGGTGATTCTTTATTTTTAACTCCCCGCCTCTTGCCAAAAAACCCCCGCATTTACTTCTTTAACCCCTCTATAAATATATTTAAAAAACCACGGGGGACACCACATCCTTTCGAAGGCCCACTTTACTAAATTTAAATTTCCCTCTTTTTACATACTCTAACTTGAGCCCCACTATCCTCTAAAAACCCTTCACTCTTTCAGTAACCACCTCCTACACCATACACCTGCACTCTGCCACTTGCCCCCCCATCCACCCCTTCATACACCTTTTTCCCAAAAATTTCTCCGTCTTACTCTTAAATTTTTTTCAAAAATAACTTACCATCACTTTACCAGGTTTTACCAAAAAACTTATCCCCCATAATTTTTGCACTCTCTTTTTTCCCCTTTGCCCTTTTTACAAAAACTATGCATGCTCCTGCCAATCCCAGGTACCTTTCCCTCTTCCATCATTTATTAAATAATTGCACCAACCCCTCCCAAAAATATTCCCCCCCTGTTTTTAACATTTTTTTCTTTATCCCACTCCCCCTGCCTTCCCCCTTTCATTTTACTACTGCCCCACAAATTCCCCAACTCACAACTGGCTCTTCCTCACCCTACAAGATGTTATTCCCCCTTGCCCATACACAAAATCACAGCTTCCCTATTTTATAACTTTTTAAAATTTTTAAAAATTAAAATTTTAGTGGTTTAAAAAAAAAAAATTTTTTTTTTTTTACTTTGGGGGGTCCTACACGGATTAATTTGATTTCCCTTTTTTCTTTTGGGGAAAATTAAATTGATACAAATTTTGACTAACGATGAACTCTCAGGAAAAGGTTTTAAAACGTTAGTCGAGGGGCCCCTGTTTTTCATATAATTTTAATTTAGTTTCATTTTTTTCGGTTTCCCTGTGCTGTATAATTTTTTTTCTTGTTTTTTGTGTAGTTGTACATTATTTTTTTTATTATAATATTTTCATTTGGGGTCTTTATGGATTAATTTATTTACATTATTTTTGTAGGAAAAAATTGCTTTAGTTGCAATTGACTTGGAAAAGAAATTAAATTCAAAGACCAGGTTTCCCCTTACTTTATTTTTTAAACCCAACCCATAAAAAATCAAAAAAGTTTAAAAGCTAAAATTACTAAACTGTTTAAAAAACCCTAATAAATAAAGCTTTTTTGCTAAAGTGTCAGGTCGGGGTGGTTTTTTAAAATAAAAAACCCCCCCCCGGTGGGTAAAGGGTAACTACCCAGGAGTTACCCCAAAAACCCTGGTCTTTCAACACACCTTCAATACTGTAAGATCTGGGTAACTTTACTGCATGTCAAGCCAAAACCGGTTATAGGCCGATTTAGTTATCGGCCAATCGGGTTTTGGCCGGTTTTTCAGCACCCGGTTATCGACCCTTAATTTTTTTTTCGGTTTTTTTGAGATTGCCCAAGCGATGGGCCCCTTTGGGGGTTTGTTAGGCTTTGTCTTGGGCGAGGAGGAAGCTTCTTTCATTCTCCAACATTTTGCTATAAACCATTTTTTTTTGTGGTTATCGATTGGTGCAACGCAAAAAAAAAAGCAACCATGGGCCCCAAGAACCTTCATAGATATAAAAACATGCAATTTATAGTGAGTTATTTAATAATAAACCCCCTGGGACATTAAATGTCTTATTTTTTTTAATATAGACATTTTTTATTAATCCTCTATTATATCTCTTCAAAAAATTTTTAGAAACACGTTACTAGTATATAAACATGCAATGTTTTATTTTTTTGAGTTTATTTAAAAAACACTTTTGGGACATTTAAAGTCTTTTTTTACATAATATAGACATTTTCATTAATCCATCTATTATATCTTCTTCAAAATTATATAAGTAACACATTACATAGCATATAAACATGCAATGTTTATTATATGTGATGTATATTTAATAATCACTCTTTGGCACATTAAATGTCTTATTTTACATTAATATAGACATTTTCATTAATCCATCTATGATATTTTCTTCAAAATTATATAAGAAACACATTACATATCGTATAGCATATAAACATAGCATATAAACATGCAATGTTTATATGCTCTCGAGCGGAGAGTCGGATGGAGAGTAAACATTACGTTTTCTCTGATGCAATGTTAGAGAAAACTGTGAATCTGGCAAGTGGTGCAGTAACCGCCCTTCATGTGCGTTTTACAATTCTCGGCATGAATTATTCATTACTTCTCCCTTTGTTTATGATGGCATCTAAGGTAGTTGTTAGAAACGATTAAACTCAGTGAACATAGTAATATGGCTGTGTAGTTTGTAGATGAATGGTTCAGAGAACCGACATTGTTGATAAATTAGACACATGTGCAACTCTTGGGTATCTTTATTGAGGAACGTTTCGCCACACAGTGACTTCATGAAGCCACTGTGTGGCAAAACGTTTCCTCAATAAAGATACCCAAGAGTTGCACATGTGTCTATTTATCATGGCTGTGTAGTGTAGCCCAGGGGGATGGGGCTACATATGTGTACTGTACCTACATCTACCGCTACCTACACTGACTTCCTACAAATAAATACTACTCACCTCTTGCCCTACATTAAGACTACAAATATTTTAAGGTAAGTAATGAATGTACTGTAGCAGTAAATGACAGAGATTAAAGAGGTGTGTGCAATGTGGACTAGGGTGCAAGCTCTTGCAGAGAAACACCACCCTGACCAAGCTGAAACAAGCCATATCTGCAACATGTTCAGTGACAAAACCCTGTCCCACTTCAGAGAAATCTTAGAGATGCAAGAAACAGGCCTCTATGGACAGATTTGTTGTGAGACAGGGGTCCAGTGACTCTCAAGCTGGTCCTAGTGGCATTAAAAGACAACGAAGGGAAGTAACCCCAGAGAAAGCTTTTCTACCTAAGGTCTTTATGGAGGGGGATTCCCCTTCCAAACACTAACTCCTCCCCCTTTCCTCTTCCCTATCTTCCAGAAGCCAGCATTAGCCTTCAATAAAGGTATGTAATACTTACATAATTGCTAAAAAAATTATTTTTTTGTGAATATTTTTGTCTGGAACAGATTAATTGTATTTCCATTAATTCTTATGGGAAATATTAATTCGGTTTTCGGCCATTTCGGTTATCGGCCGACCTTCTGGAACGGATTACGGCCGATAACTGAGGGTCCACTGTATTACTAAGGTTCAACAATTGACTCCACTGTGCAGACAGAAGAGCAGCTTTTATACCACAAAACAGACAGCAAACAGCAACTACATTCCGGCTGTACCCTTCTCAGGAACATTATTTCATATGAGATAATTCATTCCTAGAATGACTGAAGTCTGGAGCATGTTTGTATAGCATAACATCAATGAAATAAAGTAAGATGCCCAAATGAAATCTCTGGCCTACAGCTTGCTCCAACTTCATCTTGTTCTCTATTTGTATGTTTCATAACATAATGCTAGGTAAGCCTTTCAAATGAGATGACGTAGGTAACAGCTCCTAGTTTGTAAATAAAGGTATAAATTCATAACATATCCCTGTAAGAAAAAAAAAAAGAGGGAGGGCAGGAGGGTATGTATGTAGTTGTGTGAAATGAAGATTGTGGTGAGAATGAGGAAGTGTGTTATGTATGGTGCTGCTTCACCCCACTGAATCAGTGTGTTCATGAAAAAAATTTAAAATGCAAATTAAAATTACAACTATGGTATTAAGATAAACTCTCCAAGAAAAATAAAAAAATAAAAATACCTACCTTACATAGAAACTCTAATAGCAACTTGTGTTTCCTTCCCTAAAGAAAGTTTGCTGAAGGAGTCTTGAACATTAAAATTTCTAATGGTTGTATGTATGTACTAACCAGAAAGATTAGTATATACTTGTTATTTTTACAAAAATTATGAAACATACGATATATGGCAGTAATTTACCTGAGCATGTTTGGCCATCATCACTGCTTGGGTGTGAGTGAAGAGCATTTCTAACTTCTTAACAGTCCTGTCCTGAGGCTCCACTTTGGTAATTCCCTCAAGAGTCTGAACAAAACAAGAAGTGATGCAAGATTTAAAAAATATTAAGAGCATTAATTTTAAATAAAATGTTTTAAATATTTTACTGCTGAAAATTCTGCAGGATTCATTTACACAATCAAAACGCATATAATATGAAAATTAGATAAGATTTATTCTCTCCCTTCCCTTTACATAAATAACTAGAACTTAGGAGAAAGAAACTTATGATGTTCTGGGCTGACCTGGAACACTGACTAGTCACACAGAAGCGTAAAGCGAAGGGCACCATTATATTTATGAGTGGAGCTCGGGGCCTGTAGAATGAGAGGAGGCAGTAGTATAAAGGTAAAAGCAGTGGTAGATGTAGTGGTGGTAGTGGAAGTAATAGTAGTAAGAAATGCAATAGTGGTAGTGGTAATAAGAAGGGAGTAGTCATATTGACACAAGAGTCAGAATGGAGTGTAGCAAGGCAATAGTTATAGTAGTAGTGGAGGTAGTCTAAGGACAAGAGAAACAAGAAGAAAAAGAAGCACTGTAGAAGAGCTAATGACCCACAAGGGTGGGACTAAAAACACGGGAAAAATTCGTAGGACAGAACTCACCTAGGCAGAAGAAGGGAAAAGCAAAGAAACTATAGGAAAGGAGAGGAGATAAAAATCAGGTCAAGTCATGAGTGTTCTGAAGTTTGGAGCATTTGACAAAGACAAAGCCAGGCTTTGTCTCTGCAGATGCCTGCTGTAATAATGTTATGAATGAAGTCTAGTTTATCAGTTTTCTTATTTAATTAAGGAGGACTTTAATTTTTGCATTTAGACTTTACATGAAGAATGGAGAAGGCATGAAGGTGAGGACCAACTGCAATAGGAGGCATGACCCAAAACATGGTTAAGAACCACTGCCCTAAAATACCAAAATGGGAGGAGGAAGGATATTGTGATAATACTTCATAATAGAATTATATACAGTATAATGAATTCTTTGCTCCTGAGTTACACTCCAGGTTAGTTATGTAGAAAACTGACAAGTTGATAACTGAGACACTTGGGCAACATTTGGAAATCAATTTTCTGGGAACATTTCACCACCCAGTGACTTCATTAGTACAATACAGAGAAGAATAGTGGATTGGACTGATGAAGCCACTGAGTGGCAAAACTTTTCCAGAATAAAGATTCCCAAATGTTGCCCAAGAGTCTCAATTATTAACTTGTTGGTTTTTTAAACCATTTATTACAAATTCTGTCAGACACAGCAACATCTTGGAATCTAGGTACTGGGAATTCTTCAAAACCTGCCTAACCTATAGGCATGACCTACTTCCATTAGTGGATTTTTACATTGATGACTCCACCTACCTTTGCTCATCTGCCTGCAGTATATGAGCTCCTCCTATGCAGATATGCTGTACTTTTATCAAGATTGATGAACTAAACACATCGACTCAAGGCTGAGGAACTGATTACCTCAAACTCCTCCTCACTTTCCACCATTCTTCTCTGTACTGGACTGATGAAGCCACTGGGTGGTAAAACATTTCCAGAATAAAGAGTCCCAAATATGCCCAAGTGTCTCAAATATCTACTCCAGAGTAAAAAGCAGTAATACTGGGTGGCTCATGATACTATTAAGACACACCTCGTGTAACATTTACCATGGTGACTAAAAAACTCCCCTTCAACAAATAACAGTGACCTTGGTAATTTACTTACAAATAAACAAATCAGATTTCATTCTTTCTGACACTAAATTAATCTTACAGTTTAAGAGCTGCTATTCTACCTAGGCTCATTTTGAAGCTTGGCTCTACCTAACCACAAGTCACTATCACCAAAGTACATATTCTAAGTCATATTTATTCACTTACATGATAGAGCTTCTCTAGATCCGGTTCACCCCAGGCCCCTGAATCCCCAGTGACCCCACGGAGGTACTCCCAGTCAATACCCATCCTTCACCAATCTGAAATATACCACATTTACTAAAAAACAAATTTAGACTAAATATTGTGCAGTACTGTGAAATGATCAACTAGGCCTTTAACCACTAGAAACTACAGCAAAACTTTCTTACTAACATTACCACAGGTCGGCCATCATTAATCCGGCAATCAGTTATCCAGTTCCATCAGTAATCCAGCACTAATTTCAGCTAGCATAATTTCAAATTTCATCATTATACTAAAATATTGTGCAGAAGGTTGTAAATTCACAACAGCAAACCAGTGGAGGAGAAAGCAGTGATGAAAATGAGGAAGATGTATCAGAAAATCTCTACTGATAGGTTAATCAAGTGTATTCTAACCTAACCACTCTGTAATCCGACAAACTCACTAATCCAGCACACTACAGGTCTCAATGATGCCAGACTAGTGATGGCCGACCTGTACTAACATAATTTCACCCTATCTACATAACCTCAGGTAAATTTGGGTGCAGCAGCAGCAGAGGCGGCAAGCTGTCATTGTTTTCACCAGCAGAGCCCATCAACGCTTCTATGATGGCCTAATTGCAATCGTAACTGCACTAATGTACGTAGAACCCAGCATGACCCAAAATAAACAACAGTGATACCTACAAACCGAGAAATTACCGATTAAAGCAACGATTGCCCCACAAATTCCAAGCATAGCCCCACTACCAGACGACTACCTGCTCTAAGCTCTTAACTAATTTAGTTTCTTCATCTAACCACAGCAACTCCTGTACTACTATGAGACCAACTCATAGAAGAAACAGCACTAAGAACAGCAAGGCAGCACTTAGAAATCAACTAGTATTCCATAAGACGACCCAGCAGGACGCCGGTGCCCCATCCATCCCCCTCACCACCCAGAGCAACACATCACCAACAACAAACATGGCCAACTCCCCCTCACCCACCAACCAAGGTGACTCAACTACAACAACACCAACCGTGACTGAATCCCTCTCTACATCTACTACCTTCATAGGATTTAACCCATCTGATACGCTCCCAGGTATGACTAATGATCCTGACACTCTAAAGAATTACATCACCACCCTAATGGCGGATAACTTGAATCTTCGTACTGAAAATATGGCTCTTCGCGCAACAATAACAAACCATGAATCTCAGTTACTTCACCTTGAGAATAAGATCAACAGCCTTGAACAACAGCTAACATCAACTGGCATGAATGATTTTGGCAAGACCCTCTAAGCAGTCATAGCCAGTCACACAAATCAAATAACTTCCCTAAACACGAAGGTTGAAGATGCCGTCAAGGACTGGAAAATAAACATCAATACCCAATTGAACAATTATTTTGCTTACCAAGATGATAAGCCAAAGCAAGATAAGCTAGCCGATGCAGTAGTGATTAACAGTCCACTCTTTCCTAGTGAATTAAACCATACCAACTGCTAAGCTACAACTCTTCAGATCATACAAGACTGTTGCAACCCCTGAATGGGTTGCAATGTATATGTATATATTATATTATCTTTTCATATAATTTTATATTGCTCATATTTGTGATAATAAGTAAATCGTAAATATATTGCTTTATATTATTTGACTTACGTTGTTAGGTAGGATGTAACATATTATGTGCTCAGTTCAAGTCTTGATTGTCCAACTACTGTAATTATCGCTTATGGCTCATTAGACTGCCGGCTTCTGTTTCTGAGCTGCAGCTGTCCACAGAGCTATCACATGATCGAGGGGGGGGTGTCTTCACCTCGCCTGAAGTATTCAGTCTGGTCTAGACTCACTTGGTGGTTGGACAGACTGTCTGTCTCATTATTCTTGTTAGTTCTGTAGAACTCTGTTCACAGAACATTATATAGACTTAGTGATTTTCGACGTTGTACTGAGGTTGTGTGTCTCAAAGACACTCTGAGCAACTCAGGTCCTGAGCTGTAGCTTCTGACCTAACTTGTACTGGTATCTGTGTATTATCAGAGTCGGGGATTTTCTTATGCTGAACTTAGACTCAGTAGTATGGGAGTTTTGTGACTTTGGTGGTGGATCTGCTGATGGTCCCTACTTAGTGTCGTCTTATTATCTCCTTGTTCCTGATTTTGTGTCGCAGTTGCTTGTTATATTGCTATTGGGTTTAGCATTCTTTTTATTGTTCAAGCAGACTGTTCTGACTGCCAGTTGGTCAAGAAGTTAGTTTATTTGAGGACTTTGTCAGTCACTTGTTTAAGTCTAGTCGAGTCTTGAGACATAGCGAACTACTTAGAGCACTTACACACAAACTTACTTGTACATATTTGTAATATCTTATTAAATGTTAATGTACCAACGGTACTTAAGAATGATAATGTGATATGTGCTTTCAGCACAATAATACTGTAAACGAGAGAAGTGATTATTCTTATTTTGTTGATATTGATTTGATTTAATTACATAATATACCTCTAGACTTATTAAATTTTAATTTCTCTAGTTAGTAGCCTACCAGTTGTAATCCTAAAGCACTATTGAATCATACTGAATTCTAATGGATAATTGGACAAGGATACTGACTACTTGTTACGAAAACCCAGTAACAGCTGGATGCTAGAAGGACAGACCTTTCTAGTATTCACTGGAGATCTCTAAGCTTTTAGAATCGCGTTTTTGTAACAAATGGGGGCCTGTCTGGGAGGCTCTTGATCCCAAGGTGTTGGAGAAATTGTCCAGTTTGACATACTAGTAACTCTATGATCAAACACTTTGAGTACTTTCCTAATCTGAAGACTTGGAGTTTAGTCTTGTACAACATACCAGGTGGATGTATATACCTGACTGAGTCTCTTGATCCAAGGAGATGGAAATACTGTTGATGAGCTCTAGCTCTAAGACGACCAACACCAAAATTCCTATTAGGATTATAGTTTCCCATAATCACTCTCTCGTAGTACATTTATTTTCGTGATGTATGCCAAAGTGAAACAGTTAATTGATACTCTGACTTTGTCTGAGTTAAGTACATTAAAGCTTCAGACGTGTTGGCGAGTAGCCCCCCCCAAATTCTCGGTGTGACGTCTAACAGGAATTACACCGCAGAAACTGTCATGAAGCTTAATTCAAGAGATATGTTTTCCTGCCTACATACAGAGATGTCTGTATGATTCAGATTCAGAAAGCCTAGTGTCACAATAGGAATATGACTCTATTTGATAACTTAGAAAAAGAGCAACTATGGCAGAAGTGTCTGACTCAGTGTATCAGATCTTCGCTCACTCCTTCCTCTCCCTCACTGAGAAATATACAGAGTACGCTGTAGTATGACTCAATCCTAAATACTATACTGTGTATGTACACCTGTAATCTTCTACTTATCCTAGACCAGAATCTAGACTCCACTAGGGATGGCTGGACGAAGATCCGACCTATGGACCGTCCAGACACGTTAGATTCCTTACTCCACATTACCCACTGGTCCTATCCAAATCTCTCAGGAACAGTTTGAGAGGTTGGAGCACTCTCATTAATTGCCAGACTGCACAAATAGAGGCACCAGAGAAATTGAACGAAGGATTTTTTTCCAGAAGAGATAATGTTCGTCTTGGAAGACAACAAACCTGATAGATCACAAGACCTCATTTATTGTGCAGAAAGCGGCAATCCATGGGTCCTAATTTTTTTGAGAGAGACTTAGACACCTATTTTGATGAGTTGGAAGAACCATCGGGCACGTGCTATGACTGGCTATCGTAAAGCACTGGGCTAACCTTGTTGCTTGCACAGCTTTGACGTACTGATCTCAAGACATGTACTGCTGCTTAAAACCATTTGGCCAATTACATTAGTTATGACGCTGTCAAGCAAACTATTCAAGAGACATATAACTTGTTTATCTCTAAGTTATCAAAACGCATTCGTACGTTACCACGAAGAACAAGATCAAACCTCTGTGTAGAGTTTGCTCGTGAGAAAAAAGTTGCAATATGAGAGGTGGTGTAGAGTCTGCCAAGTGTAACAACTATGACATTCTGTTCATTGTTACTACATGAGAGTTAAACCAACTGTAATGTCCTGCTGACATACAAGAATATCTGATCGATCATACTACCTCAGGATTTCTGGAAACAGCACATTACTGACAATTTGAAAATTTTCTCACAAACTTGTACTAACTAAAACACAAAGAAACAAGGTAACTAAAAATTGTCCCTAGAAGTTCTGCAACCTCAATCAGCTGCTCAGTGCCGGCCTGATGTACCAGCTACTGTAACTTCTCGTACCTTTACCAGGAAAACGTCACAATCCTGAAATCTGTCTCTGTGGCTAGACAGAAATCTGATATCGAGAAGAAAGAAGTAAAATGTACATATAGTAACAGAACAGGACAAGCTAGAGAGTAAATGCTATAAGTCTAGAAAGAGATACAAGAAGCAGTAAGCAGTCGTGCGGCGGCGCCCCCACTCAAGTCCCCGTACCTCTTCCGAGCAACCAAAGCACAAAATCCTAGTAATACCTCTGATCCTACTGGCCTTGGATAATATTACTACAACAGAAAAAGATGACTAGCGTCAGAAAGTGTATGCTGACGAAACATCGTACAGGCAATGAGTCCTTACTTTTCGAGTAGTAAAGTAGGATTTGAACGAATCACATCTAACTGAGATAATTACTTTCAGAGACACTGGCAGTTATCTCACGTTATTAAGAAAGATGTTACTGCCATAACTGATGAAACCTATTGCGAGATAGATGTATTGTTTAGAAGCCTATGGAGGGCTGAGGGGGTTTTTTTAGGTATACAATACCTCTTCACCAAAATATACTTTTCAAACAAAGCTATTATACTGGTTATATTTCAGTGGGGTATATCCAGTGGTGTATTCCCAACAGGTCAGTGGACTTGTTGATAGGAACGATATCCTTCATGCTGGTATATGTAAAAGAACCACATTGTGATTACTAATAACACTGATGATAATTATGCCATTGAAGCTTGTAGAGAAGAAACCTATTTTAAATTTTCCTTTCATGTAATTACTAGA